AATCGTCTCATCAACACATTTAAAATGAATCAATATTGAATATTTTAAATTTTATCATATTATTAAATATCATAAATATCTAGTAAGTTATTTTTAAAACTTATATTTAATTTGTTTTAAGAGGTATAAATTTTGATCCATTGTGTACAATATTTGAACCTTTATAACCTTCATGTTCAACATGATAATTAAAAATAAAATAACTTGCTTAAACTCACAAAGTAATTTCAATATTCAATACATCACGTCCGTTTACATAGTTCTATTTCGATAAGTTCACCTTATAGTTTTTTTCTTGTTTGAAAAGTATAATATTATGATATTTTTAATGTTTACAAATACCTTTGATCTTTCAAAGATGAGATGAAAATTGAAGTTGTCAAGACAAAGTTCTCAAATTCTTTTGAGATTTAAAGATGAACTATTTCTTAAAAAAAAAACTCTTATTTGATGGATGATTTTTATAGGCTTCAACATTCGTATTTCTCATTTAGTTATCAAAATATCATTTTACTTGCAAACAACACCATAATTTAAAAATTTTATTTACAAGAAAATTTTATATTGAATTGTATTGCAGCGTGTACAAAACTAGTATATATATATATATATATATATATATATTATAATTATCGGGAGTAAGGAACTGTTTGTTTATCTCTTAATAGTTTCATTAAAAGACAACATTTAAAACGTTAACATGTGAATCTTTTTGTTTGGCAAAAAAATATTCTCTTAATGGTTCTAAAAACTCTCTGAATAATTTTGTATCTCCGACCTCTCTAAACCATTAGACGCCTTAATTTCATTTTGAACAATTACCAAACAATCATAAGAACCTTTTAATCATTTCACTTAATTATCCTGCACCAAGCCTTCAATATTTAAAGATCAATATGTTCAATGTATGAATCTTATTTACGTATTTGTATATTTCAAAATAAATAAATTTTAATAAAACGAATGAATCTATACTATTTTATAAAGCATTTGGCTAAAACTCTTAAAAACTCTTAACAACTCTTAAACCCGTTCATCCCTAAACGATTTCATCCATATCCGATTTCATCCCATATCTGAATTCATGTAACTAA